AGGAGGGCAGAGCCAAAGACCAGTTAACACCGAAAATGACAAACAGTTGCAAACAATATCACTTACTAGTAAGACACTTTTCTCTTTTCAAGGAACTGCTGCTATGAATATTTTGGGGTAAAATGAAGAGAGTTCATTTCCAAGCAGGCACTTCCATTAATTATATGTAGCTTTTCCCAAACTGATTCCTTGATATTTAGCATGTACTTAGCAGACTCTGAACGCAAACAGTAAAAGGAGGGTGGTGTGTGTTTTTAGCAAAGTTCTCCACTGTTTTATCTGAAAGATGCTGTGCCATATTACAAAAAAAGTACCTCTATAGGCATGAGGTTGGCCAGTTGTTTATACAAACTGATTTCTAAATTTTGCTGGCTCTTAGGGACCCTGTATATCTCTATCAGATCCTGGTTCAATTCTGAATGGAGGATTTGATTGACAAGGGAAGCAACTACAGCTCACAGCAGAAGTCTTAAGCCTCAGCAAACCTTGTATTTACAAGGAAGTAGCAGCAAAAAGCTTCCTGCATGAATGAAAGGCTCTGAAAGAGTAGCTGCATGCGAGAAGTAAACCATTACCCCAAACTAGGAAGGTTTTGATCTAAACCTAGAAAAATATTCCATAATAATAATTTCTTCAAAAAAAAGTAACTGCTTTACTAGGATCTAAACATGTCATGTTTGGAGTTTTCTAAAATAACTACTCTGCTTCCAAATCCGTTCGCCATGTGGAAGCATTAAATATTTCTGTCAAGTAACAGCAGACAAATTCTCTACCAGAGTAATAAGCCAAAAAAGTTAGAGCCAAAAGATGTGACATCTCAAATAACATACAGCCAGGTTTCTGGAAGACAAACAGATCAGTGATATTTCTCAGGCTGAGCTTTAAAAAAAAAAAAAAAGTCGTCCTTCAGATGGAGCAAGAAGTTCGGTTTCAGAGACAGGACACAAGCAATGGTTTTGTAATAATTATTCATCCCAGAAGAATCCAAATCTTCCAAGTCAATCAGATGGAAATGATACGTCCTCTCTCACAGCTTTTTATGAATACTTACATTTTGACGGTCTCCAGTTAAATGGGCAAACTCTACCATTTCGTTTCCAAACTGGCTGAATATTTGTACAAACTCTTGGAAACTACTGACTTTTTCTAGTTGTTCCATTGTTGCAAGAACCTGCAAGATAAGGAAAAATACTGTAGATTATCAAGATGCTAAACAGAAAACATTATGGCTAAAGTAGGAATGTTGTTACTGTTCACAGGCACTTCTAAGTCATGTTGTTTAAAATGTATATATTTTGTCACTATTTAAGTATTATTGACTCAACAGCTAGAAATCAAGTCTAAATTAATAATCATGATTCATTCAAAATGAGTCATTTGTTGTGAACCCTCAAAAAACATTTTCCTCACTCTTCCCAACATCAAGAGTAACAGTACTGGAGGATTCAGTTTCCAGCTTTAGGAAAAACGTTACTGTAATATTAAATCGAAAACCATAAGTACTTGAAATTAATATACAGCTCATAAACCTAGGTTGTAGCTCTCAATTTCAAAGTTCAATTTCGAATGCATAGCTTTCAAAGTCTAAAATCTCAGTTGCAGAATTAGGTGTTTTACTGCCTGCATGCATTAAAAAAAAAAAAAGCAACAGCATTCCACAAAACCCCCCAAAAGTTACAAATCAGTTAATATCTAGTTTTAAACTTCCCATAACAACTTACTCCGAAGATTTTTATTAGCTCTATATAAAACAAAAAACTAAATGAGCCCAAGTTGTATCAAGCTCTTACTCAAGACACATAAAAGCATGCAAAATCAGCTTTTTAAAAACATTCAGCAAAAATTATCATATCTTGTAAATTACTGAAGCTACCCTGCTGAAGTCATGACAGTACAGTTTATAAGGGAGATTAACATTAGGGCTTTTCAGGTTAGAGGTATCCCAAAGTGATTTTTCAGACTCACTAAATGCCTTCAGAAGGGAAGACAGCCAAAGCAGTTCTTTATTGTGTATCAGACTGGAGATCAGATACCGCATGAAAATTTAACAAACTGTACTTGAAAAGGAGAAACTTCAACTTAAAATTTTCTTTTCCTATGCCAAAATATCTTCCCCCGCAACTGGTAAAAAAGCAGCACTAGATACTCTATTATGACAAGCCACCCCTTCCCTGCAACCCAGGACAACCCTCCTAGAAGTACTCATTCTTTGCTAATACAGCAGCTGCTCCAACTTATAGTTACATGGTATGTAAAGCAAAGGTTCCGTAAAGTCCTGCAAGCACTGCAGAACCAACTGCTTTACCAATGCAACCTTAGACTGTACTATGTCTGATTATCTTACACAGCCAGTTCCACAAAGGCCACAGAAACAGGAACTTCTGTGATTCAGGTGTTGATCCATGAGCAGGGCTGCAGTATAAAGGACTTGGAAGGAGGCTGCACCAAGATGAAGATGTGAAAATAGAAATGTGCTGGGTTCAGTCAGGAAAGAGTTAACTCCCTTTACGGTGGCTGCTAGGAAGCTGTTCCTGGATGCAGGGAGCAGCACTGATAAGTTCTCAGCTGGCGCTGGGGAATGCCTGCACTGAATTCAAGGTCTTTCTCTGCTTCTGACACTGCAGCTGCGTTCCCAGCTCTCGCGGTCTCGCTACAGGCAGTGCTGGGACACACAGTTCAGACACCTGACCCAAACTGACCAAAGAAGTATTTCATTCCATAGTACGTCATGCTCGGGACAGAAGCGAGGAGGGGGTCTGGGAGCCATTAGTCTCTCCCTTATCTTCTCTCGTTCGCTCCCATACACTTACTAACCCCCTCCCTGACTCCTGCGTTAGCTGCTTTGCTAACTCCTGTGCTGGCTCGTTTGGGAGGGAGTTGGTGATGGGTTTGTTTAGTTTTCCTGATCCTGCTATCGCTGATAGGATTAGCTCGGAATCTGCTGTGACAGCGCTCAGGCCACGGCCCTCGGCCTGCGATTGCTCTCGTGCTCCCTGGGTGTGACTCTCACTACTCAGCACCCGGTTGTGCACTGATCAGTGGATGGTGAGCAACTGTATCAGAATTGTTATCATATGCTTTATTTTCTATTATTTTAATTACTCATTAGTAGTAGTACTTGTATATATTAATTTAGATTTTATTACTAAATAGTTCTTATCTCAAGTTTATGAGCTTCCTTATTTCTTTTTCCTCTAACTCTTCCCCTCCACGAGAGGAGAGGGGATTTGCGAGAGCAGCTTTGTGTTATTTTGCTAGCCAGTTAAACCACGACATAGCAGCACAAGAGTGGAAGAAGCAGAGAACCAGAGGACTGGGAAAGTGAGGATGTAGAAAAGTGAATGTGGAAAAAGGAGAAAAAGTTAAGGTCCAGCTTTCTCTTCTAAGAATGGAGAAAAAATGGTAGTAATTATGCTTATTCTTGGTTTAAGCAAGTGTAGTACTTCATGAGTACGGCCTTGGTTGCAAGCAACTCCTACAGTTACCCTAGAGCAAGTGTTTCTGTCATGACAGATCTCTTGTCAAATAAACATTCCAGTGAAAGCACACACATTTCCACTGCAGCTAACAATTCTAGACATTCCAGGCAGAGCTGACACTCCAAGAAACTACATACAGGGAGAAACCGTATAGACAGCTCTAAATTCGTCTAAAGCTTATTCAAGAAGCTGTTAAAAAGCAGAATACCTGTGATATCTTCATGTTGAAGAAAGATTAAAATGAAAAATTATGAAACACACTGATATGAATGGGAATTTTAAGCCTTTTTTGATACATATTTTTAACCTTGTATTTGAAAATGTACGTTTTAATTACTATCTAAATTAGAACTTAGTATGACACAGCTACTGCTGCACTATGAATGTTGTCTTTCCGACAGCAGTTTTAGGCTGACACCACTTAAGGGCACATCCATATTTTGATCCAATCCACATTGTGCAGCAACACTCCCACTATCTGTCACTTCCCTAATTTACCGTTCTAACACTCCTAGCCTGACTGGTGACAGCAAGCGGAGTAAGACTTCAAGCTCACTGATGCAGTGACCAAGTCTGATGGACAGTGAAGCACATTTTGCAAGGTAGGAAAGGTGTGGGTTGGAACTAGATGATCTTTAAGGTCCCTTCCAACTCAAACCATTCTATGATTCTATGATTCTATGAAATGTACACAGTCTAAGAACACAGGGCCAGGATACATGGTGCAGAGACTGCAGAAGCAGGGTCATTGGGATCAACCAGAGGTTGCCTTCTGGAGCAGGTCACCATTCCATAAGAATTACTTCATTAGTCTATGAAACTGGACATCCAACACCTAAGCTGTTTTTCTGTCCTCTGTCCTTGGTTGGCTTAAGTGCTCTTGCTCCACATGAGGAAGATTATGGTGACAATGAAAATTAAGGTGTTCAGAAAGAGGCAGCAAACAAACTGGCACTACAAGTTTAACCCTGGGCATTTAGTCTCTAACATGAAAATGCAGCTGAGATCTTCTGGAAGCCTGATCCACTCCAAGAAGCCAGCACCTGTGGCAGCACTGGTGATCCTACTCCTGCCTTTCCACCCTCTATGCTGTATTAGACTATGCTGCCTCCAAGTATTTGTGCGCACTTCTGAAGTCCCTGCCAACATCACCCCCCTACCACCATATTCCTTACAGGAAGAACTACTTCGCTATCCATCATACCACGTTCTGACACACTTTTCAGGAGCATACTCTATAAATATCAAGGCATGCCTGTATAAGACACCATAATTTGTTTAATTAGGTCCTAGAGATGTGAATTGCTCTATCAGTACCATAAACAGAAGGTGACCTTCTCAAACACATGTAGACTATGTGTACAAAGACTAGGGTGACTATGGCAATGAGTCAGACACACACTGGAAAATGAGAATTCATTTTAAATACCTTCAAAATTAAATCCTGTACCTATGCTTACTGTATTCGTGTCACTGTATACGTGACAATAGTTTCACATACATTTAAGACTATCACAAATCATGCCCTGCTGCTGAAAGAATATATCTTTCCTTTTCCCTTCATGGTACAAGCACTTGCATGGTTGCACTGTAGCCTAAAGCCATGTTACACCCACCATTTCTGGAAAGGTAAATTAATTCAGATCACTGCATGGCTACAGATGAGGGCAGAAGAAAAGATCACGAAAGGCAGCAAGAGGTATTAAATGCACCATTCTGGTCTCCAGTGCAAGAAAAGACCAAAGCTGCAACAAGTAACTTCAGCAAATTAATATTGCTAAATATGCTGCCACCATCACCAACCACTGGGAGAAAAGAGCACTAACACAGCAAATCAGTGCTGCAAAGGCTAAAGCCAGATCAAAGCAGGTATTACTGCAGTTTTTGAATCCTGGTCTCAACTTAGAATCTTGGGTCTAGAAGCTGCAAAAAAGATAGCAGCGTGTCTGGAAAGCTAACTGGGTCAAAGGAAAAGAGATACCACAAGGAGTCAAAAGAGGGTTTCTGCTTGGGATTATAAATTGAAAATTAATGGAAAAACCCAAGCCCTATCAGGCTCTCATTTTTCAAACATGAGGCTTTTCTATTTTTGTTTTAGCACGTCAGGGGGGTGGGGGAGGGAAAGAATATCCTACAGTCAAGACAGCGCAGTACATGAAATAGATTACATTTGAGGTTAAATGGGTTTTCATATATTATTTAAGTCAACTAAGTAGTTTCAAGCTAAGTTTGAAGAGGCAAGTTAAACTGCACAAAAAAACTTTTAATCTCTACTTCACTAGCAGATTTTATCAGCATTCCTCACAGCTTTTTGCCTTAGACACATTCATAATGCTCTCGTCGTCTTAATCCTGACAGTACAAACATCCTGTCCTTAGCAAGAAGAAGCTTTTATTGGCCATTTTACTGACAGATTCACTTTCCACCTCACAGAAAACCTGAAGTTAAATAAGCAATAACACAGCATCTTCCCCAGCATAATAAGTCAATAGTGCAATACAGGTCACAAAATGCACAATGTCACTGAAAATTGTTATTTTATTCTTCCTTTTAGTCATCTCTTTTCAGATTAATTTTTACCTTTTTACTTTGCAATTCACCTAGAGATACAATGAAAACACCACTTTATTTAGCACCACTCTTTTGCATTGACTGCAGGTACCAGTTAAACAAAACAAAAAAGAATCTACAAATACCTTGTTTCTGGAAGTTATAATCTGTTTAATAACAATTCTGTCCGCTAACACCAGCACCTTCGTGACAGAAGCAAGCAATGACCTTGCAGCTTTTACCACACCGGTTTTGTCTGTAAAGATTGTTATGTGGCTATCAGATTCTGGATGGTCCAAACTTGCCACGTCCGTAAGCTGTGCAATTGTTTCACCTAGAGGGAAAAGCAGAAATAATTAGTATTTCATACTTACAAGAAAGGATACTGGGCCATTAAGCGTTCCTAACTTTCACCTTTAAGGTATAAAACAATTTCAGAGCTACCTCTAACTCTTTATTTCACTTCACTTCCTTCTACTGACTGCGGGTGGCACTCTCTCCATATTTAATTTTGAACTATTATTCAGTACTGCCTCATTCTTCCATCTGTAACATCCGCTAATTTTCATTCAGTAGTCTGCAGATATTTGAAGTGGAGGGAGTGGAGCTGGGGAATGTGGAGGGAGAACACATTCATGGGAGATATTTTTCCAGTTTTAATAGCCAAAGTCAAGTCAGCGTCAACACTTGCAGCATCAACCCACTGAATGAGTGGGATGCAGCAAGGAAGGAATAACCACAAATTACCCTCCTCTTTCCAAAGTTCACTTAGCATTCTCATGATTTACGGATTTCCTGTTCCTGCAGGAGTCTTCAGGCATGAAGAATAAAGTGACTCCAAACAGTAACTTTATACCTTATAGGACTGAAGCATTATAGTGAGCCTACTGCACATTATATTAAAAGAAGGACCACCAAACTCTATGTTGTCAGAGACAGGAGAGAAAAAAAGGCAAAGAAGCACCAATTTTCAGTTCATAAGCATCTTTTATCCAACTAAATGGTAGTTGAATAAATAGTTAAATAGGACTATTTAACCACTTATCTTTTTATGTGCTTAAAAATGCTCAATCCAATGCAGGCAATGGATCTCCTCGTCCAAGAAAAGCATAGGTCCCTATCCAACTAACTCTTCTGGAGTACTCTAGATAATAGTGCAGTAGAGGAAAGGCATAGAGCAGCTTCCTATTCCACAGCCAGAGAAGGACTGCCTGGGAGACTGAACTCAGGCAAGCTCCAAGACAAGCTTTTTGTTAGCACGCAAGACAAGATGATCATCCCACAACTAACCTGCAGATCATCCGTGAATATAAAATCTAGGACATTTGATTGATTCCCCCATGACTTATCTTCAAAACCTCACTTAAGCTAATTCACTAAACTAACCCCATAACTAAGGTAATTCACCTTAAGCACACACGATACTTCAAAAGCCTGATAAAGCCAGAGGTCCCATATGAAACACCTGAGGGTGCATTATTACTCTGGAAATAACACACACAAACACTATGGAATAAGGAAGGCCTGACAGACCTTCAAACTGCAGAGCTCCACACTTCCTAGTGTTTGCCTATGATTTCTCTCCTCTGGCAAATGTAATCTTTTGAGCTCCTAAGCTGCCCGAATCGGTATTGCATTATGGCAATGAACTTCCAGTACTTTTGCTAGGAGCAGGCCAGGCCATAAAAGCCATGTGACAAATAATCAGAGGTTCCCTCTAGTATAGGTATGCAAATACGATAAACAGAGCACACTCCGAGAGTGGAAGTTCCACAGCTGAGCTGAAGGGTCTGAAAATGAATTATAAAAGTACCACTATTATCCAAACAGTGAAGGTAGTCAGATACACTAATGGTGAAGTTGTAGGACAAGTTTCCAGTCAGGTGAGATCATTTAACAGCAAAACACACTGGCAATTGCCTTCTCCACAGTTAAATTCACTTCAGTTCACACCAACCTCTAATTGGAACTGTTAGCTTTGTCAGCAGATAAACCCCAGTATCTTCCTCTGACCTCTACATATACGTGACAACATAAAACACTTTAATTGTTCTGTGTTTTTACAATAAAGTGCTTTTAGTAACTACAGGAGGATGCACATCATTATCTCATTTCTTATGCTGTGGGATTCACCTCCTTGGAGATGAATTATCAACTCATAGGTGAAGCATCTAATCATACAAAGAGTAATTGGAGAATGTAGAAAGAGCTGCCTGTCAAACGCGAGACTTCTGACAACAAAACAAGAGCTTCCTTCTCTACCTGCAGATCTGCAACTACAGGAACGGAGTAAGCTACAAGGAGCACAATCTGTTAGGGTAAAAAGACTGAACTAGGGACTATTTAAGTCAGCTGGGCACACACAAGTCCATGGGACACATCTGAGAGTGCCAAAGGAGCAGCTCAGTGTCACTGTAATTCTGCTATTATGTCTGAAAGGTTGTGACAATTGGGACAGATTTCCAGTGACAAAAAGGCAACTGTCACATCCATCTTCAAGAAGGGTACTAAGATAAATTCAGGTAATTATGGGCTAGTCTGCCTGACATCAGTCTCCAGGAATATTATTAAAGCCATCCTGGAAGCCATTACCTCATGAAGCAGAAAAAGGCAGTCAGGAAGAGCCAGCACAGACCTGCAAGGGTAAACAGTTCCTTATCAACCTGAATGTCTTCTATGATGAGAAGACACCCTCTCTAGAAAAGAAATTAATGGGTGCTGCATATCTCAACTTTAGCAAGGCCTCCAACATGATCTCCTGCAGTGTCCTTATAACTAAACTGAGATATGGATTGGATAAGTGAACAATAAGGCAGGTAGAAAAAGCACCTGTCTGTTGAGCTCAGGGATGTGATCAGTGGTGCAAAGTCCAATGGGAAGACAATTACCAGTGGCATCCCCCAGGGCTAACAGAAGGCATCAAGACCGTTCCCATGGGCCAGCATGTTCAACAAGCATGTGAACAATACCAAACCGGGTGAGCATCTGATCTGCTGGAGAACAGGGCTGCTAGATGCAGGGTCAGGCTGGAAACACAACCTGACAAGAAGTTCCTGAAGTCCAACAAAGGCAATAATACCAAGTCCTGTGTCTGGGCCAGGATAACACCACACAACAGTACAGGATGGGGTCAGCTTTCTGAGAAAACCTTTGTAAGACATGGTGGTCCTGGTGGACAAAGGGCTGAACAGCAGTCAGCAGTGATGTTAGGAGTGTAGGAAATGGTTCTTTTCTACTTGCGGGCACTGTGGGACAGCACCTGGAGTACCATGTCCAGTCCAGGGCTCCTCAGTACAAGGGAAAACACTGACATTGTGGAGCACGTGAGGGAAGAGGAGAGATTGAAGGTAGCGTGTTTTGTTCCATCTCAAGAAGAGAAGGCCAATAGCATTGTTTACTGCAGCCTGCAACTACCCAGCTAATGGGCAGGTATGGAGAAGACAGCGACAGACTGATCCCAGAGGCGCATGGTGATGGGACAAGAGACAAAATATAAGAAAACACTCTTCCCATTGTAAGGGTGGTCATACACTAAGAGGTATACAAGAAGTTGCACAGCCTTCAGTGTTGGAGTTAAATGCCTCTTTTGATCTAAGTTATTCTGTGATTCCATTTATCCATTTTAAATTGTTAGTTTCAACCTTCTTGATACAGTTCTTCACTGTACTAAAAGACAAGGCAAAAATAGGGGAGTGCTATTTATTACCTCCATTTTACTCCACATCTTCCTTTAGGGCTATGTAGTCAACTGGCAGAGAATACTGAAAATGTTATGACACTAACTCATTCTTGACATGTGTTTTCTCTTAAATTAACCACTCTCTTCTAGTATTGAAGAAAAAAAAAAATCACAGATGGGCATCTAAAAATGTGCTTTCAGTTACATTCCACTAATATACTGTCGCTGTAAGCACTGACACAGCGCAAGACTCAGGTAAAATCTGCTACATGACCCTCTGCAGTGTTTTATGATTCTATTTTGAGTCAATCAAATTACAAGGTTTATTACACAGAAATAGTCATAACAAGTCTGAAACATTTCAGATCACTGATTATACCCTTCACAAGAGACATACAACACCTGTTATCCTTCAAAGCCTCTGCAGAATATGCAATTGATTCAGACTCCCTACTTTTCTTAGCAACTGAGACATAATGTTCTAAATCCTTGAGTACAGAAATCTGTCTTCTACACCTAAGAAAGTGCTTTATTTTTTGAGGCACCACCTAATTTATAGGCTAAAAAGTATGAAGAGTTCTACAATATCCTCTGTCCTAAACAGCCCATGCCATCAGAACATGGGATTCTTTTACACAAGTCAGTATTGTTAGCTATAACTGGCCAGATCTTATTGGCTTGCTTGGGACATCAAAGTTATTCAAAATGGCACTTGAGTAACTGCGTTCAAAGACCAAATTCAGAGGACAGTTATTCATGAGAATTTATCTGCACAGAGGACTCTTACCTTGTCCAACACTTAGGAGTCCACAGAGGTAATACTGGCACAAAAAAACCAACCCAGAAAACCACCAAAGAAAAAGCCAGCAGCAAACACATTTGATATACTGAATTTCCCATGTAAGTCTTCGGCTAGATCTCAAACAGATAGTTAAGAGAGAATAACTGACCCATGCTAAGGTAAATGTGAGCTTCGACAAAAAAGTAAACAGCCTATATCCACCCCTCTAGACTGTGACTGCCTAACAGAAAATAAAACTTACAATGTAAAAAAGATATAACCATTTGGTGAGAGAAAACACTGCAGATCATTTTTAGATTCCAAGCTCCTCGTGGATACACTGATAGGGAGAAAAAGCACTTGGCCACAGCATAACTGGCAAGTCAAGAAATAGAGATCCAGACTACACTGCTCTTCTAGCAGCTGAGAATAAGGATGTAAACTTTGGCAATTTTGCCTTGTCAGCATTTTACTTGGATCTCTGAAGAGAAAACACGCTTCACATAACAAATGGAATGTTTTCAAATTAGGATATTTCTGTTTGCAGCCAAGTTTGCTTGATCAACCATGAATTTTCAGCCTGAAGTTTATCTAGAATAGTCCTTCACATCCCCAAAACAATCACTCATGGCCAGCGTGTCTCTAGGCATTGCAACTTGTTGTTGAGGGATTTTCAGAGGATTTCTTGCAGTACCATACTCAACATCTGAGCTTTTTTTTTTTTTTTTAAAATCACAAAAATACTATGAATTGTAACCCCAAAGTGTGAGGCTAGCACAATGATTCAACAAGGACTATACAGGCTAGGACACCAAAAGCCAAGTTTCTCAGGCTTCTGAGTTTATTTAAAAGATAAAAACCAAACACTGACCCACAAGTCCACTCTAGCTTAACAGATCACTTTTAAGTAGAGTAACCCATGTCTTGGAGTAGAGTACTACTTCTTTCTGCAGTTAGACATTAGTGTTGAAGGGCCATTTATTTGCCTCCACATCTGTAAGCTCGAGATTGTTCCCCTGAAGCCACAGTAAGCAAAAAATCTCTTACACCTGTAGGTACTTCCACCTGCTTAAACAGGAAAAGCTTCAAAGCAGAATTTCCCATGATTCAAATGTATATGAAAAAAAAAAAAACACCAGCACTAACAACAAAAGGAACAGTATTTTAAGTATGATCTTCTTGAAGACTGCACTGTAGATGTAAGAATACACCTTCACTAAAAGCCACTGAAAAATCATTCAAGGAACAGTATTTAGTATCTAGGAAAGTAGTTTCTAGTATGACATTGACATTCTCTTACAGTATCAGAGAATGTAACCCACTATTTGCCGAGACAGAGGCTTCTGAGGGAAGAGGAAGGTGACAGCAGGCAACTCAGTTATCCATGCTTCACATTCAATCCACACACACAGCAAGCACGCAACAAAAGTTCCAGCAAAAAGACAAGTATGTTATGATTTTCATTTTACTGAGGGGAGTCATCAGATGACTGATGTGAGTCATCTTACTGAGTCCTGATGAAATATGGGTTGACACTGACCTTCATTCAGACATTCAGATTTAGAACACAGTGACCTTAATAGCATAACACTCAGATTACTTTAAATACACCACTGTTTTAGCTTGAGAGCAATAAACTCTGATGTTGTATTCTCAACGCTCTGCTCTTTGCCTGTAGTAACATCATAAACCAATGAGCAGCCAGGTAATTCCTGGTGGCAAAAGATCCTGTAAAAGTCAAAACCAACACACAAGTCCATCCTCTGTCTGTAAGATGACAACAATTTAAGTAAGTGGCAAAATCAGGTGACAGATCAGGCCTTGAATGAACCAGCAGAAGAGTGTTAAGCAATTAAAGTTACTACATTATTCCTGACTAGTAATTGTGTGCCAAAACCGGCACAAGCACAACAGGTTACGAATTTCATGAGTAACTACATACCTGCTCTCCTTGCCTCGATGCAAGCAACACTCATTTCCTCCTTCAATTCACGATTTTCGTTGGCAATAGTTTCACCTACTGTAACAAATCTTGCAACTGCCAGGTTAACTGCTTGGCCCACTCGCTGAATTGCTTGCAGAGTCTTGTCTGAACGCTTTGGTTTGTCCTTGTGATTAATAAGAGTAGTTATCTGTGAACAAGAAGAGTTAATTATTAGAACTGTATGCAAGAAAACATTTTAACTTTAGTATTAAAGGCAAGTTTTGAACTGAACTTACTAATAGATATTTAGCATACTTCTCCAATAAAATTTACTGTTGAGTCATAAGGTAACATTTAACTTCTCAGAGAATGAAAAAAAAAATTTGGAGTATAATTAAGTTTGCTCATCTGCTGTGATCTCAGCTTATGTCATCTCAAACGGAGGGATATTTTCTTCCCCTCACATGTGCAGTATTAAAATAAGCTGCCCTAGATCTCTCAAGAGGTTTTCACACTAAACACAGTAAGAGGACCCCAATAGTAGACATAACATCGTTTTGGGTTTGCCAGCACTGGAAATCTTGCAAAGTTTTTGTGCTGCCAGGTAACTAGACACACTCAATCAGCATTCGGGAGCTTTGGCGCTTTTTACTGAAATAAGTCTTTCTAAATGATGCTTTGTCCAATTGATTCAGGATTTAAGAACAAGCAGTAGCAGAGTCTTTACACAAAAAGAACCACTCATCTTTCGGAAATAATCTGAAGTATTCCAGCCCTCCCCACATCAAAATGTTCAGTCCTCATTAATTTAGACATCCTCATTTACAGGTGTTTTCCAGCATTTAGGAAGAGTTTTCCATTTAGATGCAAGGTGTCAGTACAAGAATTTCTAAGAACATCGTATTCTGAACTCCACATCCTGTATCAGCTTTTCTGCCCTGCACTACATTGAGCTACACATTTCTGCATGGATCACCACAACCAGAGATCACCTGCTGATTCATGCAGGCTGCAGGAGACTAAAAACGTGCTAAAGAGCACTAAACACAAGGAAACAGAGATCCCTCTCACCCAAAGAGAAAGATAATGCAGAAGTAGCTTTTCAAAAGGCATACAAACATGAGAACACTGTGTAATACTGCTACTCAGAATTAACTAATTACAAACTGCATTACCAAGAGTATAGGAGCTTTATGTTTTTGGTATGACAACCATTTCCTAGTGATATAAAGAACAGATGTTGAACTGTAGTTTTGAACATCCTAAACCAGCATAAAAGCCATCACTGTTGCTAAAGACAACCACCCCACAACACCACCACAGAAATGCATCGTCTGCCCACTGCCTTTTTATATACATCCTACTTCTTGAACATGTACCTAAGCCACAAGCTCTGAAGAAAAGACACTTTCAACAATTCATACAACAAATCTGTCCCTGTAAGAGTCCTCCAGTTCACCAAACTTCCAATTCAAAGCCTATGAACCCCTGACACCCATTAAGTGAAAATGCCACCTTAGGATGAAAACAGAGTCTTATTAAAGGGTAAACTAAGCAAACATCAGGTTCATTCCAGAGAAGGAATGACATTCCCCAAAAGACACAATTAATTCAGAGGAAGTTGAGATTAGCATCAGATGGATATTAAAAACAGTTGCACGTTGCCGGTCTCGTGAACTCTTGCCTTGTAGGTGCTTCAGGTATACCAAACTATCAAATACCTGACAGCAGCTCATCTAACAATCCCAGCTGGCAAGTTCTTGACTAGTCACGGGCAGCAAGCCTACAGAGAGCATTACACCAAATGCTGAAGAAAACCAATTCGATAGAGGGTCATAACTTCGTTTCCTGAACAGGTCTTGAAGCAAACAGCAACCCAATGCTATGCAAACAAAGATCAAATAGTACATTCATACAGTTACTGACTTATTGAAAGCATATATAAATAACACTGGCCTAAACCAAACAGAATACTAGTTGGATGCATGTCCTGGCTGCAAGTTTACCTCCCACAGCATTTTATACCAGTAGAAGTTTAAACATGTTCTACATAATCCTGAAAAAATGCATATGCAACTAACTGCAGAATGAAAGGAATCCCACTGTCTCTTACAAATCATCAAGGGCATTTTAATCCCATATGTTACTGTAGAGGTATGAAAATGATAAAAATCTTGAAGATGTCACAGTTTAAGTTACTTTAATAAAGTCTTAAAACATTTTCAGAAACCCTTTCATTTGAGATATGGCTGAAGTTTATAATTCTGTAACTCCTTTAGCACTCTCTTCAGAGGGGATCATCAGTTTTGTAGAAGAGAGACACCCCCTATACCTCCACCTCATAGGGTGAAGCAAGAATCAGCAGCTGTGTTAGCAGGTCTATCACCAGTGTCATCTTAACCTCCAGAGGTTCAACAAGGCCAAGTGCAGGGTCCTGCACATGCGTTGTGACAACCCCCAGTATCAATACAGGCTGGGGGATGAATGGGTTGAGATCAGTCCTGCAGAAAAGGACTTGGGGGTACTAGTGCATGAAAAATTGGACATGAGCTGGAAACATGTACTTGCAGCCCAGAAAGCCAACCGTATCCCGGGCAGTACCCAGAGAAGCATGGCCAGCAGGTCAACGGAGCTGATTTCTCCCCCTCTACTCCAGTCTGGTGACACCCCACCTGGAGTGCTGCATCCAGCTGTGGAGCCCCCTAAGAAAGATATAGACCAATTGGAGCAAGTACAGAGGAGGCCACGCAGATGCTCAGAGGGCTGGAGCACCTCTGCTATGGGGACAGGCTGAGAGAGTTGGGCTTGTTCAGCCTGGAGAAGAGAAGGCTCCAGGGAGACCTTATTGCAGCCTTCCAGTTCCTGAAGAGGCCTACAAGGAAGCTGGGGGGGACTTTTTACAAGGGCCTGTAGTGACAGGACAAGGGGTAACGGGGTTAAACTGAAAGTGGGGAGGGTTAGATAGGACAGCAGGAAGAAATTCTTCCCGGAGAGGGTGGTGAGGCACTGGAACAGGTTGCCCAGAGAAGCTGTGGATGCCCCATCCCTGGAAGTGTTCAAGGCCAGGCTGGATGAGGCTTTGAGCAACCTGGTCTAGTGCAAGGTGTCCCTGCCCATGGCAGGGAGGTTGGAACTAGATGGTCTTTAAGGTCCCTTCCAACCCTAACCATTCCATGATTCTGTGATTTACTCCAGATACTCAGTGGAGTATTTTGCATATACAGATTAAACTCAGTTTGGAAAACTATGGTTACACACATCACCTGAGGCTTTGCAAATACCTCCTGGAATAATGAACTTTTAACTGTGTAATATAATTTCTTCTTAGAACGGATAACTTTAGGGCAACTACAGTAGCTATCTTAATATTAGACTGGAGGGAAGTGTGTTGAGCTCCACTGTCTTCCAGAAAAGTCAAAACCTATTTGAATTGGCAATCCATAACAAACATAAAAGAACTAAAGCAGAAGCTGGTCAAAAAGTTGGAAACATACCAAGACAAACAGCTTCACATAACACTTATTTCAAGTGTGATCAACATTATGACATTAGATGTAGCACATGCAGACTGTACTAATACAGTAAAATTTGCACAGGATGTTTGTTATATAACAAGTAACAAACAGTCCTGAAATACGAGTAGTTAAGCTGTGCTATAAGAGAGCTAGAGGAAGATATGAAATATATATCAGCTAAAGGCAAAATAGCGCTCTCTGGTTCTGGAACCAGGAGTTAAACATATACCAAGTGTAAAACACAACATCAAAAGGTCTGAGGAAAGTTCTCCACATACAGATGGGCTTCTCAACCTGCCACCTGCAGAAAACATTGCTGTGCAAACAAGGGGAAAGTATAAATCTGGGAAATATCTTTTTCTTTCATAAAGTGTTAAAAATGACAGGTAATGTGTATCCTCCACTTAAAGTTATGAAACAGCAGAGGTAATAGCAACTGCCTTTTCAGATTCTTTTCAAGACCTAAGTCAAACTCACAATTAATGATCCAGGTTAAAAAAAAACAAACAAGCAAGATCTTAACTGAGCAAGGAGAGAATTTCACTAGAATGTTAAGTGAGAGACTGTGTGAAACTGATGCTAATAAGCAGCACAAAGATAATTTAATTAGTTTAAACCACAGTGGGGGGAAAAAAAAAATTTAAATCCCTAAGCAGTACAACTGAAGGTGTGTTAGAGAGAGGCATGCAATACCATTTGTCTCAGGATAGAAAAAAAATGCAATGAGCATTAAAATGGCAATAAGCTAGGCTTCTAAAATAAAGAATAAGCAAAGCTTTTGCTTCTTTTAAACACCATTTAAAAAATTATATGAAATTGGACAAGTTAAAAGGAGAAAAGCAGAGACCCACATGAAACCTAACAAGGAACTTTCTCCCCAGAAAACAACCGCCTTCCTCCAAAGATACCCTAACAGCCTATCAAAACCTGAATTAGTGAAAACTTGCAGTGTTTAAGGATATTTCACATTACAAAGAATTGCTTTTCCCTTGCAGCCCATCAAATTGCAACCAGATCAGAACTATTACTGTTGTTTCTTTCAGTTTGGTTTTGTAGGGGTTTTTTTGGTTTGGTTGGTTGCTTTGGTTGTTTTTTTTTTTTTAATTAAAGAAAACCCCTGTGACTCCAAGAACATTATCTAAGCTTTCCTTTAAGCTTCACACCTCCCAAATATTTAATCTATTGTATTCTGATCACGTATCACCCAGCCACTAACATCGGCGCTGTTTGGGCAAGAGTTAACAGCTGAAAAGATTACCTGCAAGTTCCTTTGAACAAGAGAAATACGTTACCTGCTGTTTTCACTAGGGTTTACTGATCAGGTCCAAGAAAGGAAACAGTCCCCTTGACAGCACTCATGCTCTGTTTAATGTGGGCTCTTACATTATTTTCATGGAAGGCTTACCTGAGATTTGAGACAATCATTTTAAGGAGTGGGCAACCTCAAGAAACAGTCAGGAACAATCTTTTGTCACTTGTTAGGAACAGCCCCAGGAAAATCAGCTGTTTCCCACATACTTTACTGCAACTAACATGTATATACCCATAATGTATCAAGATGTACTTTATATTTAGGAAACAAGCTCGGTTGTGACAGTTTTCAAGCAGCTGTTTTCAGAGCCTTTGGAGGGCCTTTGGATAGCAACACTTAAGTCATTATATGCTTCATGCACAGGAAGCATCAGGACAGCAT